ATTTAGGGCATGGATAGAGAGGAATTTGTTATGCACGTACAACAAAATCTTCTGATTCAGTAGTGGATGTACCTACTACAGAAGGTGCAAAGCTTGATTTACTACTGGGGGAAAAAGGCAGGGCAGGTGACCAAAGTGTCAGTGGGGGAGCACTTTGGAGCTAGTGACTATAATTCTATTAGGTTTAAAGTAGTGATGGAAGAGGATAGACTGGATCTAAAAATTAAAGTTCTCAATTGGAGGAAGGCCAATTTTGACGTTCGTAGGCAAGAAATTTCAGAAGCTGATTGGGAGCAGATGTTTGCAGGTAAAAGGGACAGCTGGAATGGGAAGACTTCACAATGAGATAACAAGAGTCCAAAGACAGCATGTTCCTGTGAAGGGCAAGACTGGTAGGTGTAGGGAATGCTGAACGATTTGAGAAATTGAGGTTTTAGTCAAGAAGAAGAAGGAAGCACAGTTCAGATATAGTGATCCAGCGAATCCCTAGAAGAGTATAAAGGTAGTAAGAGTATACTTAAGAGGGAGATCAGGAGGAGAAAAAAGGGGACATGAGGTAGCTTCGGCAAGAAGGATAAGGAAGATATAGAATGTGGGGAAATAAATAGTGACATCTTGAAACATGTCCATATTATAGAGGAGGAGATGCTGGACAGCTTAAAATACATAAAAGGTGGATAAATCCCTGGGACATGATCGAGTATACCCTAGAACTCTGTGGGAAGCTAGGGAAACGATTGCTGGGCCCCTCACTGAGATATCTGTATCATGGATAGTCACAGGTGAGGCACCGGAGTTTGGGGATTGGCTAACATGGTGCCAATATTTAAGAAAGGTGGTGAAGAAAAGCCAGGGAACTATAGGCCAGTAAGCTTGAGGTCAGTGGTGGGCAAGTTGTTGGCGGGAATCCCAAGGGACAAGATTTACATGTATTGGAAAGGCAAGGACTAATTAGGGATAGTCAACATGGCTCTGGGCATGGGAGATGGTGTCTCACTAACTTGAGCCTTTTTTTTTAAATAGTAATGAAAAGATTGAGGAGGATACAGCGGTGGACGTGATCTATATGGACTTCAGTAAGGCGTTCAACAAGGTTCTTCATAGTGACTGGTTAGCGAGGTTAGATCACATGGAATACAGCAAGAACTAGCTATTTGGATACAAAACTGGTTTGAAGGTAGAAGACAGCAGGTGGTGATGGAGGTTTGCTTTTCAGATTGAAGGCCTGTGACCAGTGGTGTGCCACAAGGATTGGTGCACTGTCTACTGCTTTTCATTATTTATATAAGTGATTTGGATGAGAACGTAGGAGGTATGGTTAGTAAGTTTGCAGATGACACCAAATTAGAGGTGTAGTGGACAACAAAAAAAGGTAACCTCAGAGTAGAACGGGATCTTGATTGGATGGGCCAATGGGCTAAGGAGGGACAGATGGAGTTTAATTTAGATAAATGTGAGGTGGTGCATTTTGGAAAGGCAAATCAGGGTAGGACGTAAACATTCAACAGTAAGGTCCTGGAGAGTGTTGCTGACCAAAGAGACCTTGGTGTGCAGGGTCATAGTTCCTTGAAATGAAGATGCAGGTAGATATGATAGTGAAGGCAGCGTTTGGTATGCTTGCCTTTATTAGTAAGTGCATTGGGTACAGGAGTTGGGAAATCATGTTGCGGCTGCACAGGGCATTGGTTAGGCCACTTTTGGAATAATGCGTGCAATTCTGGTCTCCATGCTATAGGGAGGACATTGTGAAGGGTTCAGAAAATATTTACAAGGATATTGTCAAGATTGGAGAGCTTGAGTTGTAGGGAGAGGCTGAATAGCCCCAGCCTGTTTTTCCTGGAGCGTTGGAGGCTAAAGAGACAATGTTATAGAAGCATATAAAATCATGGGGGACATATATAGGATATATACACAAGGAATTTCCTCGGGTGGCGGCGGCGGGTGGGGGGGCGGAGGAGAGGACGGTCCAAAATGGACATAGTTTTAATGTGGGAGGGGAAAATTTTAAAAGGGACCTAAGGGCCAGCGTTTTCATACAGAAGGTGGTGCATGCTTGGAATGAACTGCCAGAAGAAATGACGGAGGCTGATAAAATTACAACATTTAAAAGGCATCTGGATGGGTATATGAATAGGAAGGGTTTAGAGAGATATGGGCCAAAAGAGATTAGATTTATTTTGGCTATCTGGTCAGCATAGACGAGTCAGGCCAAAGGGTCTGTTCTGTCCTGTGCATCTCAATGCGATGCAGTAGCAGACCTTTTAGATATACATAATACCATCAAGCAGAGCAGACATGGTTTCGTAAAGGGGAAATCATGCCTGTCAGATTTACTGTATCTCTTTGACATAACAAGCAGGAGAGAAAAAGGGGAAGCAGTGACGTAATATATTTGGATTTTCAGAATGCCGATATTAAGGCACAACACATTAGGCTACTTAATAAGATAACAGCCCGTTGCATTAGCGTATTAGCAAGGATAGAGGATTGGTTAACTCATCAAAGACAGACTTGGAATAAGGGGACATCTTCAGGATGGCAACCTCCAACTAGCAGAGTGCCACAGGGTTCAGTGCATAATTATTAACAATATATTCGTGACTTCGATGGGGAAAGTGAGGTTTCCAGGTTTTCAGATAACTAAAATAGGTGGGAAAGCAAGTGGTGAGGATGACAATGTCTGCAGAGGGACAAAGGGAGAATAAGTGAGGCAGCAAAACCTTGGCAGATGCAATGTAACGTGGGAAAATATGAGGTTATGTATTTTTGGCAGGAAGAATAGAGGAGTTGAATTATTTAAAAGAACTAATTTGTTTCAGGTTATGACAGATTACTTCAAGTTTATTCTGCTGAGACCAACGAAGGATGCATTGAAATAGTCAATACTATTGCAATGAAGACACAAATGAGTATTTCATCAATTACAGAGGTGGAAATAGACAGTCACAGAGATAGGGTAAATGTGGTCAGAAGCTCTGGGTCAAATGTTAAAAAGTTGCCAATGTCAGGCAGTTACCAGAAAAAGAGATGGAGTCAGTAGCTAGGGAACACAGTTAGAAGTGTGAACCCAAAACAACGGCTTCAGTTTACTCAACGCACAAAACTCATTCAGTACTGGCGTCAGAAAAGCAGAATGATAATTTAGCAACACCGGATGAACGAAGAGAGTTAGTGGTGAGGTAGAGCTGGGTGTAAGTTGAATGTATGTAAAAGCTGATGCTGTCAATTTGGATGATGGTACCAAAGAACAGCATGTAGATGATAAACTGGAGGGGGCCAAGGATTGGAGAAACAGAGGTAAGCAGTGTGGCAGCAGAATATGAACCCATTTTGAGCAATGCTTTAGCCATGACAAGACAGAAAATGATGGAACCAGCTGATACACAAACACACAGGTAGCAGGCAAACTGACACTCAAAAGTGCCCAAAAAGCCCTTGAAAAATTAATGATAGGATTGACAAATAAGAGAAAAATTACTTCAGTGGTAGGAGGGATAGAACAACGACATGCATGCGTAAGATCATCTTGGCACTGGGTTGCCACAAGCTTGAGCCAAAAAAAAGTGAGACATGGCCATTAAGACTAAGAGCATTTGAAACTAAAATATTCACATCACCAACATATCTAGGGAAATGTCTAAAAGTTGTCAAACCCATCAGTTCAGAACCAGTAAGCTGGGACACTTGCTCGTCACATCATCAACTTATCTATTTGCTAACACCTCTCTAAAAATTGTTTTTGATCCTAAATTTATCATTGGCCGTAGTCATAATGCTACTTAGGGTATATTGTCATTTACATACGTAATAAACTTGGAAGGCAGTTTCTACTTTAATTCATTTAAAACTGTGCAGTTCCACATTGCCTTGAGTGAATTAGGAATAAGAGGTCCTCCTGCAGAATACCTTATTACGTTATGCTCCTGTGTCAGCTTAGCTTCGAGCTATAGCTTGACCTACATGGTGTTGGAACAACCTCATGCTGACTTGAGTTGGAGTGTAAATGCATGCTATGTTTGGAAGGAGTAATTTAACACATTTGGCTCATTGGTCCTGATGGATGTCAGGATATATGTCTTGCAGTGGTTGAGATGAACGTGCAAGATGACTTTTCGTTTGACAAGAGCTCAGTTTATGATAGGCCACTTCAGTCAGCTTGTAATCCAGAGGCCTGAATTAGTGATCAGGAGACAGGGACATCGTTTCCACAGAGGAAAGAAATTATCTTTATCTGGTCTCGTCTGTAGAAGATTCCAAACCCATATAAATGGAGTTGACTCCTAACTGCTCTCAAATGGCCTAGAAAGCCATTGGAAAAAGGGCAAAAATAGGGCTGATTTTCAAAATTGCAAATGAGTTTGAAGACGATGTGGAGAAACAACTTTCACCTGTGGATGAGTCGAGAACAATTTAAGGAAATAATGAACAGGTAAAATAAAGAGTTGAGGAACTTACTACTCTATTAATTGGTTGAAACACTGTGCTGTATCAGCCTGACACATACAAGCGATTAAAAGAATGGAGAGGCAAGAGATGCAGCAAAATAGGAAGTAGAGTGGGAGGATATTCGTGTGAAGTGTATAACATAAGCTTATAACTTATAGTTGTAAGTTAGATTGTAAGCAATAACACATTAAGTTACCCATTTAGAAACCAGTGCAACAAGAATCTCTGATTTACAAAAGTATACATGCACCCAAATATGATTAAGGCGAGAAGGAAATCCTACAGTCTACACAATACGGTACCTACTGGAAGTATTTCGCTGCAGTGTATCCTTGCGTCAAATGTGAATAGTAAACGTATGAGCACGGAGACAACCCCCAGGCGTTGCAGCAGGTAAACCGGAGGGAAACAGACATGGGCAGAGCCCACAACCTGGGGAAGGCAGCGACGGGCCCCAGTCCCCCAAGCCAAACCCTCACCTCCTCTCTCTATCTCCAGTTAAACCGCTCTGAGGGCGCGAGAGCCGCCTCCAATCTCCCCCCTTCAATCTTTACCTCCACTTCGGCATTCTCCTGCGCGTCCTTTGTGCCGCTTTTACCACTTTTCCCAGTTTTAGGAGGCTCCTAGAAGTGAAGAGATTAAAGCATCAGGCCGGAGTTGAGGAGCAAGGAAGGGGAGTTTACCGTTAGTGTGGGTCTGTGTGTCGGGGCCCGGTTACCGGCCGCTCCGTCAGGACAGCGGGAGAAATCCCAATCTCCCCTCCTGACGGTGGGTGAGACGCAGGATGCTCCGCCGGAGGAGACACCGGTTGCTCAGGGAGAAATGAGAATCGGTCCCCGGAGGAAGGAGAGGTGGGGGGCCCAGGCTCTGAAGATCTAGCCCGTTTCCCACTCCCGGTTCGGCCGCAAGAAACACAGCATTTCACCTCAGGCCGCAACTTCCTTCGGCCACCCTCACCTTGTCTTTCTTGTTTTTATTGGGCATGTCCAGTACGGACGATCGCTCGGTCTCGGCCCCGCTGTTTCCCGTCCCAGACCCAGACCCCGACACCGTTTGCCTTTCCTCAGTCCCGGGAGGAGTAGCCGCCGCCGCCGCCTGCTCAGCACTGACTGCCATTGGCCACTCGGACACACGTGACACCACCTCCGGGGGCTCGAGGCGCTTTGACCAGGACATGCTAAAGTTCTCACACTGAGGTGGCACGCTGCACCACCCACCCAGTTCACAGTCTGCTTGCTCCAGTGCATTGACCCCCACCCCACCCCACCCACCACCCGCTAGCTATCAGGACTGCTTCAGATCCCTCCCGTCCATCAAAATGCTGCGAGCCCCACATCTCGACATCTGGCAGCCTCAACCACTTTCCAGCTCTTCAGCCCTGCATGAGGCACATCAGCACAATCACTTACAATCTTTCCTCCATCTTGCTATCCGCCCACCCCCAAGCCTGCAGGACAAGTTTACTCATAAGATGCAGCAGCGGAGAACCAGCAGGTGAGACTGGCATGTCTTCATCTCCTGAACCCCTTGGAGAAGTGGCTATAAATTCCTGTACTGGTAGTGACCTCAGAGGTCATTGCAGCTGGTATTACTGCAATCATTCAAATTGACGGTGTATTACTACCTTATGAACCTTCTCAAATCGAATACTCCCTCTTCCAGATTTAGGTTCTGGAATGCATTACAGGATTGCATTGAAGGTAGGTTCAATTGAAGCATTAAGAAGGGAAGTGAACTGTACCTTAAAAGGATGAATGGCAGGGGTTATGGGGAGAAGGCAGGAGAACTATGCGTTAAGTAAGTTGCTCTTTCAGAAGGCATACAAACATAATTAATGTTCTCCTGTCTGCTGTAACAGTTCTGTGATTCTGTGACTTTTTTCTACTCATTCACAAGATGTAGCCATCACTAGCTAGGCCTGATTCGAGAATGTGATGATGAACATTTTTTTTCTTTGCCACTGCAGGCAGCCCAAGGAGATAGATACACCCACAGTGCTATTAGGAAGGAGTTCCAGGACTTTGATCCAGTGTCAGAGAAGGAATGAATTATAGCCCCTTCAGCCACTGCTCACAGCTGATGTGAGGGTTGGAGGGATGCTCCCTACATGAATGTGGCCTTTTATTGAAAGCCCTCTTCCTCTTCTCTTTAAAGACTCTGTGAATGAGAGTAGGTTTTCTACTCAGAAGTAATCAAACTCCATTGATCTCCTTAAAGAAGTCCAGTACCACCCCTTCCAAATATAATAGCTGTTCAGCACTCTTCCAACAGCATTGAACACAGTACATTCACTAATTCTGCAGGAGCAATTAAAAATCTTAAGCAGCTCATCTGAAAGTTGCATGTTGATACCTTTAACTTGCCAGGGAGGGGTATGGTGTGCTGCTTGTGGCAGAGAGTGGTTGAATACAGGTTCAGCAGAGACTGTTTATAACAGCACATTAATTGGACTTGCAAGGCTCAAAGTCAACAGGTCAGGTGCCTAATTGGTGCTTGACACAGTATAATCGCAATCTGCCAACCCTGCCTGCTTTCAGCGTTGCACGGCATGCATACTCACTGGTAGCTTCAAAGCAGGACAAGCTGTGTGAGCTATGCCAATAGTGGCGAGAAATAGAATGACTTTTAGTTTCAGAACACTAGATGCCCACATCACCAATACCAGCAGCAATAAGGATTATAATTTTGCCACTTTCTTATTTTGACAGGGAAAGAAATGAAGAATCGTATAAGTGAACAGCAACTTAAGTATAATATCAAAACTCTTGAAAGAACATCATGCAAACATGGGCACGGAATTCATAAAACGTAGCCAAGAATAAATTCCTTCTACGAGAATGTTTTATGTCCTGTGACGCATGAGAAACTTGAGTTTGAGAGGTTTGAGAAATCACACAAAATATTATGTAACACAGTTTACCCAGTTCATGTCTTCATTTTTAGAAAAGAAATACTAATTTGTAGTGGTTTACGAACTTAAAGTGCTAAAAATAAACAAGTCACTGGAGATAAATGGCATTTTAGGGACTCAGAGCAAAAGGGTCATATTAGACTCAAACCGGTATCTGTGTTTTTTCTCCACAATGCTGCAAGACCTGCTGAGTTTGTCCAGCAATTTCTGTTTTTTTCCCATATCTTCAGCATCTGCATTTGCTGTTTATTAGTGTAGTAAACATTCTTTGAACTGCTTTCAATATACGTATAGATAGCAAGAACTGCAGATGCTGGAGTCAGAGTCAATACAGTGTGGAACAGGTCAGGCAGCATTAGAGGAGCAGGGAAGTCGAAGTTTTGGGTCGGGTCGTGATGAAGGGTCCTGACTCAAAATGTCAATTTTCCTGCCCCTCTGGTGCTGCCTGGCCTGCTGTATTCCTCCAGCTCCACACTGTATTGACTCAATACACTTATATTCTTCCTTAGATAAGAAGGCCAATACTGTGCACAATTTCTAGATGTGTTTGCACCAGTGCCACATATAACTGAAGCATAACCTTCCTACTTTTGTATTCACTTCCCCTCATAATAAACCATATCAGTCTATTAGGTTTCCTAGTTATTGCTGTAGCTGTGTATTAGCCTTGAATGGTTCATGTACCAGGACACAGATCTTTCTGCATCTCAGAGCTCAGACAGAGAAAAGGCATGGCTGGGGGTGAATGGATCATTTGTAATCAAAATAGAGGACAGAGGTCATGCTCAGAAGTTGTTGAACTCAGTTTTAAGTCCTAGGGTGCCAAAGTTGAAAATGCGTTGGGCTTTGCTGGAACACTGTAGCAGGCCCAGAACAGAAATGTGAGCATGGGAGCAATACGATTTATTAACATGGCAAGCAACTGAAAGGTCAGAGTCATTCTTATAGACAGAATGAAGATGTTCTGCAAAGTGATCATCCAGTTTCTGTTTGGGCTCACCAATATAAAGGAGTTACATTAGGAGTTGCAAATACATTACAACCAATGTAAAAGAGACTGCATCATGAGAAGCGGATACAGTAGACAAAATTGAAAGAAGTATAAGTAAAATGCTGCTTCACCTTGAAGTTGTGTTTGGAGCCTTGGAATATAAGAAGGAAGAAGGTGAAAGGGCAAGTTATAGCTTCTGCAGTTGCATAGAAAGGTGCCATGTAGTAGTGCCAGGCTATGACCATCACCAATAAGAGACAATCTAACCACCGTCCCTTGACATTCAATGGTGTTACCATCACTGAATCCCGCACTATCAACATCCTGGGGGTTACCATTGACCAGAAACTCCACTGGACTCACCACATTAACACGGTGGCTGCAAGAGCAGGCCAGAAGCTGGGAATACTGTGGTGAGTCTCCTGACTTCTCAAAGCCTGTCCACCATCTACAAGGCACAAGTCAGGAGTGTGATGGAATACTCCCCACTTGCCAGGATGAGTGCAGCCCCAACAACACTCAAGAAGCTTGACACCATCCAGGACAAAGCAGCCCGCTTGATTGGCACTACATCCACAAACATTCATTCCCTCCACCACTGACGCTCAGTAGTAGCAGTGTGTACTATCTACAAGATGCACTGCAGAAATTCACCAAAGATCCTCAGACGGCACCTTCCAAACCCATGACCACGCCTATTTAGAAGGACAAGGGCAGCAGATATATGGGAACACCACCACCTCTAAGTTCCCCTCCAAGTCACACACCATTCTGACTTGGAAATATATCACTGTTCCTTCACTGTTGCTGGATCAAAATCCTGGAATTCCCTCCCTAATAGCATTGTGGGTCAACTCACAGCAAGAGGAATGCAGCGGTTCAAGAAGGCAGCTCACCACCACCTTCTCAAGGGCAACTAGGGATGGGCAAGAAATGCTGGCCAGCCAGCAATGCCCACATCCCACAAAATGAATAGAAACAAAAAGTGGAGGGGGGTGCGGGAGAGATTGGGGAGTGTTAGTGTGGGGCGGGTGTGGGCGAGGGGCAGAGGTTGTGATGGATGGCGTGGTGAGGAAATGTTAGGAATAATGGAGTAGTGGACTAGAGTGTTGCGGAGGGAATGGTCTGTTTAGAATTCTGACAACAGAGGGGAGGGGAAGATATCTTTGTTTGGTGGTGGTATCCTACTGGAGATGGTGGAAATGGCAGGGGATGATCCTTTAAATGCACCCAAATCCATGTGTTTTATTATCAGTTTATACGTCTGCAGCCTAAACAATTTTTGACACAGTGCAGCAATCATCAAGGTTATTTCAATGTCGTTCCCCTGTCCTGTGACTCAACAACAAAGAAAAACAAAACCAACTGTGTTATGAGACCACCACCAGCTTCAAAGTACCTTTCAAGTCACACATCATCCTGACTTTTTTTTTGCAATTTCTTTCTTGTCAATAAGTCAATTTAAATTAAATTCTCTACCTCACTAAGCTTAGTGAGCAAGTTTTGCTGACACTCAAATTATTGACAGATGACCAGCTGGATTGTTTTCAAGACTCTGAAGGTTTGTAATAAGATAAATAAATTGCCTACGATGTCTGCTGAGAGAGCAACAAGAATGTACTTATTTAAGAGCCTGCAAAGAAATTAAACAAGTTTGAAGAAATTTCCTTGCAGAGCAGATGTCTTAAGATGTTGAATTGTCTGTTGAAAGCTGTTGTTGAGTCAGAGCAGATTTTCATAGTCCTCATCTTAGCGAGATACATCACCACTGACTTGGAGATATATTGCCATTATTCCACTGTAGTTGTGTCAAATTTTTTTTATCCATTCACAGGATGTGGGTGTCACTGGCCAATTGGACTAAGTGTTGACCACGTTGCTGTGGTTCTGGAGTCACATGTAGGCCAGACCAGGCAAGATGGTAGTTTCCTTCTCTAAAGGACATTAGTGAACCAGATGGGTTTTTCCTGACAATGTTTCTTGATCATCATGAGACTCATAATTCCAGATATTTATTGAATTCAAATTCCACCATCTGCTCCAGCGGGATTCAAACCCAGGTCCCCAGAATATTACAAGAGTTTCTGGATTAATAGCCTAGCGATAACACCTCCAGGCCATCACTCTGTAAGAGTACTATAACATAAGGACTACAGGTGTTCAAGAAAGTGGCTCACTAACCTTCTCAAGCAATTAGAATTAGGCAGTAATGCTGGCCTTGCCAGTGATTGTCACTCCACGTGAAAAAAAACAAGAAAAATTCCATGAGTGAGC